GAGGGCTGCATCATTCCCATCAATTGCTGTTGCTGTCGTGTGCCTTAAAGTCCTTTCTGACTTAAGGTGACCCTGTCATGGGGTTTTCTTGGCAAGTTTCTTCAGAGGCTGAGAGAGTGTGACTTGCCCAAGGTCACCCAGTGGGTTTACATGGCCGAGCCAGGATTCAAACCCTGGTCTTCCAAAGTTGTAGTCCAACACTCAAACCACTACATTACATTGGTTCTTATGTGACATAGTGGTGTGAGTGTTAGGCTATGACTCTGGAGACCAAGGCTCAATTCCTCGCTCAGCCATGGATCCCACTGGGTGACTTGGCCAAATCACTGGGTGACCTGAGAGCTTTTGACTTGTCCAGGGTCACCCAGTGGGTTTAATGGTTGAGCGAGGATTCAAATCCTGGTCTCCAGAGTTGTAGTTTCAATATTTCTTAGGTCCAAAACATACTGCAGAAATAATCCAATTTGAGACTACTCTAACTGCCCTGGCTCAATGCTAGGGAATTCTGGGAACTGTAGTTTTCTGAGACATTTAGCCTTCTCTGTCAAAGAACTCTGGTGCCACAATAAACTACAATTCCCAGGATTCCCTAGCACTGAGCAAGGCCAGTTAAAGCAGTTTTATTTCTGCAGTGTGTTTTGGACCTCCAACTCAGGAGATAGCAATGGCAAATCTCCTCTGATCAAATCTTGCCAAGAAAACCTCATCATAGAGTTGCCATAAGTCAGAAAGAGCACACAATAACAATTCCCATCACAATCCAAATCAAAATGTAATCCCAAATCATTTTTCTTTTCAGAGGTAAGTGCCAAAGTGGTTGTATTTTAAAACAATCTCTAGTACGCTTTCTGTTTAGGGTTGCAACCTACATCCGCATTGCTGACATCCCATTATATAAGCCTTGGAAATGGCAAAGTACAGCTGAGTTGTCAAACCTTCCTTCCTTTTCTTCTTAGCTAATATCATCAAATATGAGTAAGAGTTTTGAAAAATCTATGATTTTGTTCAACTGCATAATATTTTCTCTGATCCTAAGCAAGTGCTCTTTGGATTCAAGGTGAGCAACCCCAAAGGAGGACAAGGCACTGCAAAATGGAGAAAACTCAAGAAAAATGTAATAGGACATGACCAAATAAATACTATAAACACTCATCTAAATCCATGCTGCTTCTTAGTCATGCCCAAAATGGAGGACATTTTGACATTCCTCCTGGACAGAAGGTTGAAATGTAAAGCAAAGCAGCTTCATTTATATACCGCTTCATATCACGCTATGGGATGTCTAAGAGGTTTACAACTGTAAGCTCAAATGTAGGACATGTCCTGGGAAAGGAGGATGTCTGGTCACCCTGTCGTAACCCCAAAGGAAGACAAGGCACAGCAAAATGTAGGACATTCAAGAAAAATGTAGTAGGAGATGACCAAACAAAAACTAAAAACACTCAATAGAAATATAAATGTATGCTGCTGCTTAGTCATGCTCAAAATGGAGAATATTCAAGGAAAATGTAGGACATGACCAAATAAAAGCTAAAAAAAACACTCAGAGAATCCATGCTTTCTTAGTCATGCCCAAAATGGAGGACATTTTGGAATTCCTCCTGGACCAAGGTGACCAGAGGTCCTCCTTTTCCAGGACAGGTCCTACATTTCAACCTTCTGTCCAGGAGGAATGTCAAAATGTCCTCCATTTGGAGTCTGTCTAGGAAGCAGCATGAATTTATATTTCTGTGAGTGTTTTGAGCGTTTGTTTGGTAGCGCCCTACATTTTCCTTGAACGTCCTCCATGTGGCGGTGCCTTGTCCTCCTTTTAGGGTTAGGACATCAGGCCAGAAGGTTGAAATGTAGGACCTGTCCTGGAAAAGGAGGACCTCTGGTCATCTTGCCTAGGGGTTCCCCTCCTTGAAAGCCTTGCCTGCCAGTCAGACAAACACTACCTTCCTTAAACCCAAACAGCTGAGCAGGTTTGTAATCCTGTTACTTCCAAAACCAGGCTTCTTCTCCAACTTGGTTTGAAACGCAAGGAGCCTCCTCTGCAAAACTGCGCCTCTCTTTGCTGTACTTCCTGGTCTATTGACCCTGAAACTCAGACTTCACAGGAAGAACCAATCAAGTCACAGATATTAACCTCTAACCAATCGGTTTAGCGGGAGAGGGTGGATGCCTTTGAGAAACGGGCCTATTAGCTTTCTCCTTTGGACCTCCATATTTGTTGAGGGCATAAGCTCGGGACGTTTCTATCATGGCGGCTTGTGAGGCCTTGGCGGCCATGTTGGATCAGGGCGATTGGTGAAGGACACAAACCCTTGGAATCCGGCCAAAGAGATAGAAATAAAGATTTGTAGAAAAAGGTTCTTAGTTCTGAATCCGATTGCAATCCTCCATATGCGGGGCGAGGAAATGTATATATGTTTATCTCTATCTGTGGATCCTTCTGCACTGCAGAAATAGCCCAGTTTGACCCCGCTTTAACTGTCATGGCCCAATGCTATGGAATTCTGGGAATTGTGGTTTTGAGCCTTCTCTGTCAGAATGCTCCGGTGCCATAACAAACTACAAATCCCAGAATTCCATAGTATGGAGCCATGGCAGTTAAAGCGGTGTCAAACCGGATTATTTCGCCAGTGTCAATGCCTCACTGGTGCCGTCAATAAGTGTGGGAAGAAGTGGGAACTCTTAACATTTTTTAAACTCCGATTCGGTTCTGGTACCCCGCAAATGGAAGCTTCCACTGATTGCGATTGGAAGCCGGAGGTTTCTATGGAGACCCATCTAAGGATTCGCACCCCTTTCCGCCTCGCTTCGTTTTATCAACGGCCTGGCCACCGCCGCCATCCTTGTCACTGGCGCCGCGCGTGCGCACCACATCCATAGTCTACCATTCCGCCATCTTCTTTGTGGGCAAGCGGTCCCCATGCTTTGGCCAATGAGAAGGTGTATCACGTGGGCGCGGAGGCATCGAACTCTCATTCCACGTGGGAGAGTCTGGTCAGCATGGTAAGCAGGAAGAAGATAGATAAGTAGATATAATAATAATAATAATAACAACATTTATTTTTACCCCGCCCCTCTGCTCAAAACAATATATAGTATGTGTATTTGTGGGCATATATATATATATATATATGTGTGTGTGTGTGTGTATACTACATATGTATATATAATATGTGTGTTTGTGGGCATATATATATATTTAATATTATATGTAATACAAATTATATATTATATGTGTGTGTGCGCGTATATAATTTGTTGTTTGCTTTTTAGTCATTCAGGTCTTGTGGAAACCCTAAGATGAACCTATCTCGGGATTTTTCTTGGCAAGCTTTATTAAAGGGGGGGGGGCTGAGGCTGAGAGAGTGTGACTTGCCCGAGGTCACCCCGTGGGTTTCGAACCCTGGTCTCCAGAGGCTTAAGAATCGCCTATCGACTCTGTTTATTATTCATTTTTAAAAATAATTAAAAACATTATATCATTGTCAGACGCTTAGTGCTGAGTTTACTATCAAGCGGTATAGTAATGTAAACGCTATTGCTATTAGATATTTATTTATTTATATTTATATATTTATATATTTATTTTATATGAATATCTATTTTTTAAAAAATATTTTATAAATATAAAAAAATAAAATATTATCTTTATAGAAAGGGACCCAAGGTGGCTCACAAACAAAAACCTTCAAAAATCTTTACAATAAAACTTTAAAAACTTTTTAAAAAACAATTACAATTAGCTAATTAAAAGCAGTGTAAAATTACATACATACACACTCAAAAGACTTATGGCAACCGTATGGTTCCTTCTCTCCTGGGCTTACTCATAATAATAATAATAATAATAATAATAATAACAATAACTTTATTCTTATATCCCGCCTTTTACCAATTTAAATAATTGGCAAAAGGCAATTTAAGTAAAAACATACCTACACACTGCAGAAATAATCCAGTTTGACATTGCTTTAACTGCCTTGGCTCAATGCTAGGGAATCTTGGGAATTGTAGTTTATTGTGGCACCAGAGCTGTCTGATGGAGAATTTATTATTATTATTATTATTATTAAAGTTTATTTCTAAAGCGCTGTCAATGTACACAGCACTGTACAAAGAGACAATCAAGTATAAAATAGAATAAAAACCTGACAAAGGCATACAATCTAAAATATAAACAATAGGTAAAATAATAAAAGTCAATTAAAGCAATTGGAGAAGGCCAAATGTCTCACAAAACTACAGTTCCCAGGATTCCCTAGCATTGAGCCAAGGCATTTAAAACAGTCTCAGTCCCATTTTTCCATCAATGAGCGAAAGCTCTCCTCATTTTATTCTCCCAAGAACCCTATGAGGAAAATTGGACAGAGAAATTTAGAATGATGGGAGTATTTGCCTATTGCAGCATGGAACCATAAGTACCTTAAACGTGAACAATTTATTGTGCTATTGTAACAATTTAATTCTATTTTAATGTACACGGTACCACTTTTCTAGGTTTTTAATTGTACTGTTCTTTTAATATTGTGAGCCGCTCTGGGCACCAGTTCTGAGAAAAGGGCAGGATACAAATAATAATAATAATAATAATAATAACAACAACAACAACAACAACAACAACAACAACATAGAACAGCAGTTCCTCTGGGGATAGGGATGCGGTGGCTCAAGTGGTTAAGATGCTGACTCTTATTCAGCTAATATTTTTTGAAATTTGGATCTAAAACCTGATAGCCACAATCACATACACAGTTAAGTCCACAAAAATTAGGGTTAGGTTTCTCTTGTTGTTGTCTGTCTTTTGGGAAGGCTTCTTTGAATTTGCTCAAGCCTTTGTATTTCTATAGTTGCGTCGGGAAGCCCGTCAGAGACGAAAGTATGTATACTGGAATTAAGACAAGAGTATTTATACCAGAATCTATGCCACTGGCATTCCTCCTCCTCCTATGTGCCAAGAAGCAGTACCCTATTTCTGCCCGTTGCCTGCAGTTTGGAATAGGTTTTCACGACCAAGCAGGGAATCGAACCCTGATCTTCAGAGTCATAGTCCAGTGCTCAAACCACTACACCACACTGGCTCTCATTTCTCTCATGTAAATCCACTAGCATTAAGTAATACCTGTTCCTGGTCATGGGACATAGGATTGTAGGCTTACTTTGGGCTGGGTTGTTTCTACATGTTTTCAGATTTAAGAAATATATGCTCCTTAGTGGCTGTTTCAGGGACAGGCCCATCCTTATTCTTTTGGGAAGGTTTCTTTGAATTAGGAAAGAGGAGTAGCAAAGGATTCTCTTTGCTCAAGCCTTTGTATTTCTATAGTTGCGTCGGGAAGCCCGTCAGAGACGAGAGTATCTATACCGGAAAGCCCAAGAGGAGAAGTTGAGGACTCTCCAGGAGAAGAAGGAAAAAATCAAGAAAGCGCTAGATGGTATGAATTATTGGCTTGTATCTGGTCAAAATGTGAATAGGAGGAGGAACTTTATTTTATTGAGTCTTCTCGATCCCCAGTCCTCACTGACGTAAAGTGTATGACATAAAGCAGAAAGAAGGTAGTAGTAGGTCTTGCTGAGAAATAAATAGGAATTTCAGCCTTCTGTGAATTGGCAAGGGCAAAATCTCAAAGAGGGGTAGTCCAGCATACTTACCATAAAGCAATTTTGATGGGAAAGCATTACAGCTCCCCTTAGTAAATAATATGTGGTAATTAGCAACGGTCAAGTTCTGTATATAGTATGACAGAAGAGATCACAAAATGGATATTGAAAGCATTAGCTGTGTATGAGGAAAGGGAAGAAGCCTGAAGATTGCAAAAGGCAATATCCCATAGTAGTTGTTTGACTAATTTTAACACCATATCATTACTAAGGTTAAGGCACAAAGATGATGAAAGGCCATTGAAAGGTGACTAAGGGCCTTTGCAGACTGCCAGAAATAGTGCAAATTGATTCTATGATTCTATGATTCTATGATTCAATGCTAGGGAATCATGGGAACTGTAGTTTATTGTGGCACCAGAGCTCTCTGATAGAGAAGGCTCAATGTCCCAGAAAAAACAATTCCCATGATTCCCTAGCACTGAGCCAGAACTTTATAGACATCATCCATGCCCTAGTAGAAGAAGGACTTTCTCCAGTTTTAAGCATTATAACTGGGCTATAAACACATCTAAGGGTATGAAGTAAAGTTTTTAGGATTTGGTGTGGAAGTTATCAAGCTCAGAATTAATCCCTCAGATAGAGAGTGAACTTTGAAAATAAGAAAGTGTTTTCACTTGCTAACATTTTCTTGCTCCTATTATGCTCACTCCCCCAACTTGCAGCCTTTTATTGATGCACAGTTAATTTCCTTTTTCTTTGTTAGCTATTTGAAGGAAAGATGAGGAATATAAATAATACGGTACATTTTTTGAAAGCCAACTGAAGGAGTCCTTGCATTTTCCTACAGCCCACCATGGAAGGAAGTAGTGATGGGCACGCCTGCCCCTGGCTGACAAGTGGTGTGGCAGCCAGCTTCCTCTCTGTTTTTCCTAAGTCCTCTTCCTTTTTCCCTTCCAGAGAACTGCCTCATCCCCACAGAACTGCGGAAGGAAGCTCTTGTACTCCAGAAGGCCCTTGAATTTGAAGATGGAGGTGGAGAAGGTAAGTGGCTAGCTTGAGTAAAATGACTGCATTAAAAACAACAACACAACTTTGTTGGAAGTACCATTGAGTGAGGCATCCTTAGCCCTCACCCAAACATTCAGTAGCTGCCGTTCATAAAGGACAAAATGCCAGCAAGGAAACTGGAAAGAGGCAAAGCCAACCCCATAGGCCAAAGAATAGACCAGTGGTAATATAAGTAGAAAATATCACTGAAGTAGAGAGTAAATCACAAGACAACAGATGGAAAAACAGGTCTGTTTAAATAAGACATTGTTTGCTTGCTGGCAGATGGCCTTTAAACTAGGGGCATAGATGACCCTTCTTCAATAGGGAGTTACATAGTTTCTCACTGAGAAAACCTGGTCAAAGGAACCTTGAATTGTGTCAAGAAACAGTCTGCTTGCCAGTGTAACTGTTGTAACTAAGATTCACATGGTCCCTAAGCAGGGCTTGGTGAACAGCTTGGCTGGAGCATCCTGAAATTGCTGAGGTTTCCAGAAGTCTTCAAAGACTGCCCCACAACCATCACATTATAGGAATCCAGATGAGATACAACTAAGATGTGTGTCACCATGGCCAGATCAGCCCCCCAAGAAGGTCAAAAAGCATGTATAGCTAGTGCTGAAACCCAGCCTCTAGGTCTAGGACTAGAGCTGTGAAAAGTTACTTTTTTGGACTATAGTTCCTAGAATGCTGCAGCAAACTTTTCAGAGCTCCTTTTCATGGAATCTTGTACATGCTTGTACACTCATTTATTTTTGGAAATAGTCCTAAACAAATGAATGTACAAGAGTTACTACTTCTCTTGGCCACCCTTTCCTATTTCTAGAACATGGCAGGCTGAAAAGTACATAAGAGGTTGTGGTTTTGTTTTGGTTGCTTTTGTTTTCCATTCACAGGAGCTTAAGAGGTAAGTCAGAGTTTTCTCAGGTGACCACAATATTTACAAATGTCCATATTCTTAAATACACAAACCCACTAATAGTATTTTTCCTCAGCTCTGGTTTAAATTATCTTAATATGAAAACCATAATGCCATAAATAGAACATGATCACCTTTTAAAAGAGATGCCTTCGAGTCTGACACATGCTGCATTAGTGTAATTCATCCCTTTCCCCTCACTTGCTACAGCCTTATTTCTGGGGCATGATTTGGATTGGGACTCTGAGAATCTGTTTGAAATCCTAAGAGTTGACATTGAGACATGAGGAGTGTGAAAAGGATGCCTCAACCATGTGTGAACTTTTTCTTTCAGCACTGATTAACCACACAGCTGATCCTGTCCCACTTATTTGGGTTCAGTCTGTCCAGATGTGTGTATATTAAATGGCTGCTCCCCTCACTCAGCCTGAATGCTATTTCCAGTGTTATGAATGATTTCTGCTAAGTGCCCTTAGTGGGAAGGGGGGTTGCTTTTTAGCAGTTTAAAGAATGTTTCTTGGTGGATATGTAGCTCCTGTGTTGCCATGGCAGGAGTGACAACCCATGTGGATGATGAGTACCGCTGGGCTGGTGTGGAAGATCCTCGCATTATGGTTACCACCTCTCGTGATCCCAGTTCTCGTCTCAAGATGTTTGCCAAAGTAAGTAAACAGTGGTTTTCCCCTTCCTTTGTCAGTGGGAGCTATGGACAGTCACATCCTCTTCATGGCTCAGTGGAAAATTTATACATTATCTGTATGAGGCCCAGGGCATTTTTCTTCTATGTCCAGCTAACCCACCTTTGCTTGGGCTTACTTGGAAGCCTAGATTGACTTAGGGCTTATTGCTAGAGGAGTACAGGTTGAGTTTCCCTTGTCTGGAATTCCAAAATCTGAAATATTCTAAAAGCCAAAGCTTTTTTCATGGGTGAAGATAGTAATGCCTTTGCTTTCTGATGGTTCAGTGTACGCCAGGGGTAGGCAACCTTTCCCCTTTAAGGGCCGAGGGACTTCAGCTCCCAGAAGCCTCAGCCATGTTGGCCAATAGTCCCATGTTGGACAATAGCTCCTGGGATTATGGGAGATGAAGTCCCTCGGCCCTTAAAGGGGAAAGGTTGCCTACCCCTGGTGTACACAGACGTTGTTTTATGCACAGAATTATTAAAAATATTGTATAAATTACCTTCAGTTATATGTATACAGTGTACATGAAACATAAATGAATTTTGTGTTTAGACCTGGGTCCCATACATGTGTATGTCAATACAGGTATTCTAAAATCCAATAAAATAAAATAAAATAAAAGTCCAAAATCCAAAACATCTCTGGTCCAAGCATTTAGGATAAAGGAGACTCGAGCTGTAATAACAGAATGCCCTGTAGTATGTGCAAAGTACTTCTCTTACCTGCTTGTGTGGTAGCAATCTTTGAAATCAATGGACGGAACCTTTAGTTTGGAGTATTGTGTTCCAGCCAGACTTCTGGCAACCTTTCTCTTAAGCATTGCCAGCCAAGTACAGTGATCTTGGGTTTATGGGACTATTAAGTACAAATAAGATGGCTTATTATATTTCTTACTTCCTTCTTCTTACTTCTGGTTTAGGAGATCAAGCTGATTTTTCCTGGAGCCCAACGCATGAACCGAGGACGACATGAGATGGGTGCCCTGGTCCGTGCCTGTAAGGCCAATGGGGTCACTGATCTGCTGATAGTGCATGAGCACCGAGGGGTACCTGGTAAGTGGCTTGGCTGGGGCTAGATATTGGGCAGGCCTGGTGACCTTCTAATACAGGGTGGGCAACTCTGTTCCTCCAAGTTTTGCCAGATTCCAGCTCTCAGCATCCTCCATTATTTTATATCCTGGCTAGGCCTGATAGGAGTTGGGATCCTGCAACCTCTAGAGGGCTGCTTGTCCCCTACTTTTTTTTCAAATATGTAAAAATGTTGTTGGTGGGAGCAAGCATTGCTAAATGTGAAATTGTATTTTTACCTCATTTGCCTGGAGGGAGCATGAAGCAGTTTAGACGTTTTCCATGGTACAGTGTATGTATAGTTTAATCAACAAAGATCTCTGTGGCACCTTAAAGTCTAATACATTTATTGTGGCATAAGCTTTATTCACCTGTGGAAAGTGTATAGCTTGGCTGACTTTGCCTGAGTGACGTGGAACTACTTGCTTATAAGCAATTTTTATGTGGTCATCCTTCTCTTCAATGGTAGCTCCCTGTAGTCTGTTTGATCTGGGTTGATTGAGAACAAATAACTGTAGTTCAGTGCTAGACCACATGCTGTGCACACTGATGTTCTCCAGATCAATACCCAACATATTCAGGTAAGGCCAGGAGGCACTCAGCTTTCCCAGCCAGTCATTATAGAATAGAATAGGGAATCTTTGGCCCTACAGGTGTCTTGGACTATATCACTCACAATTCCTTGCCATTGGCTGTTTAGGGCTTTTGGGAGTTGAAGTCCAAAGCATCTGGGGGCCCCACTTTAATTAGACTAGGGATGGTGA